TTTATTCTCAGTCCTTTTAATGCAAGTCTTCTCTATGACTGACTGCCTGCCTTTGTTTTCCATTTGCATCCTGCAAAGGATTGTCTATACAAGCCTAATGGTTTACAGTAACCCTTTAAAAATTAGATATTTGTGGTGAACCCATTCAAGATAATTTTTACAAAAGCCTATTATTCCACCCAAGCCTCTTCTGAGCAGAAAGCCAAGTGCACTAAATGTATCAGCATTATGATAGCCCAAACCCATTTGCTGTGGTATTGAGGACTGACACACAAATGACCCTGGGTCTCAGTACATGGAAATTACTTGTAATTATTCTATATTTTCCAGCCCTCAACCTGTTCATCTCGTAACTCTTTGGTAGAGAGTCCTTTGAGCTGGCTCTAGCATTATCAGGGGAAATTCTGAGATCTCTGTTGGAGCTCTCCAATTTGCAGCTGAGTAGCTGACCCATTTTTGTTTAGGGCAACGTGTCTGGTTATAAAATCATCATTCTTTCTAAGCCTCTTGCAGGGGGACAAATGGATGTATTTTTTTACTCTATGTGATATTTTTAAACTGATAGAGAGACATTATTTGCTCAGCATTTTTTTCATCTTCATTTCATGAGAAATGAAGGTCTTTGGCCTAGAATTTCAATTTGATTTATATTCACAATTTCTCTCAACATAGCTGGTATCAAAACATGAACATTAGCTTTAATCACTACCAAAGGTTTCCATGTGATTTCATAGTGTGAGAGGATGTTGGTTTTCCTCATAATTTTTTAATTTCTCATAAACTGAATATCAAATTCACTAACTTTCATCCAAAAATCAATTACTTCGAAAACCTGTAGGAAAAGAGACCTTGAAAGAATATCCTACCTTAATTTTTGTCGCTCTATCCAATCTTGGAGCTGTCTCTTGTTAGTTGGGATCATTACTATATCTTAAAAGAGGCAGCTTTGTGCAGTAAAATGGCACCATACTGCTCAATCTATCTGCTAGGTAGGAGTCCTCTGTATTTTTGCTCCATGTTCGACCGATTTTTTTTTTGTGTGTGTTTATTAACACTACCAACTCAATGGAGCTGTGAAAGTATGAACATTTCTCTATTCCAAGTCATCAGAAAGTAATTCTTTTTCTCTTCTGAGGCCGGGACCTTTAAGAGTGGGCAGAATGTAAATCAGGAATGAAAAGGATTTGATTCCCACTTGCCAAGGGGAGGTTCCCATCTGTTCTTATTGAAGTGTATGGGGATTTTTGCGATTGACACTCTTGAAAAAAGGGTCAGACCTTAATTCGAGGGAGGAGAGAGCATTTAGCTCTTTTGTGCTGTTATTTATCTAAAATAAAAATGCTTCAGCTAAACAGGCTTGTGACCATCTGAAGAAGCTGCTTAGTAAAAAATATTCTCAGTTTTGTAAAGGTGTACACCCCTAGAAATTAGGTGGTCTTGACCACCACACAAGCAAATCTGCATAGGTTAACGAGGTGTATCAGTACCTCTTTTACCCTATGGAAGCCATATCTAACTCATCAAGGTCTTTTCCATTGCTAAGAATATTCAAACATTTTACAGGTCATCAATAATGTGCCTGTTCCTACCACCAGCCTGAGGAATCTCCTGACAAAGAGCCAACCAAACATAACTTCATCTTTTACCCCAAATCTACATAAGCAACTTGATACAGATGCTGCATTCTGGACCATATTTTTTCTAGTAGTTTCTCTAGTCCAGTCAGTCTGAAGAATCACATATTTATGCTGAAATATTTCTTTTGTTACCTTCAGGACAGAACTGGCACTGACTCCAGCTCAGAGTGGGGTGGGCTGCACAGTAGACCAATTTTACAGATTTTTACAGCTCCTGAGTACAAAATTGTTATCCATTGCCCTCCAGCTTGCTCCCATAGCAAAGTAATTGCAGTATTTATGTTCAATGTGCAGTTTGTTACTTTCCCCTTCATGTCAATCTAGTCCCTCTTATTCTCTTTTCTTTTTTCCTTTGCAGTGGGTAACATATTTGGTGTTAAGACTGCGTTTAGCATCAGATTCTGGCTGCTCAGGGAAATGAGTATTAGGTTCATCGTGTAAAACAAAACCATAAAGTAGTCCTAACAAATTAGTTTATGAACAATGGAAATTAAGACATATTGAAAGAGGAAGTTAAGAAAAAAAAAGGAAACACTTTAAAGCAATTATGAAGCATAAACCATATCAATACCACCCAACTCAGTGTAAGATAAGAGCTCACAAGGGAAATTTTCTAGTCCATAGGTAAATGTGCATGCACGGAGCTCTCTACTCTACCTAGTCCCAACAACCTGTTTCAGAAGTATCTGTAGCCGTCTTATTGAAATTAAGCATCTGGTGTGGGAAATCATCAGGTGGTGTTAGAGAAGCCATAGTCTTCACTTACTAACCAGAACTCCAGCGGACATCTCTTGTGATTGTCATACACACCTCTGGTTTCAGAGCCTCTGCCCATCAGGACACACTGAAATGTTCACTTGTGTACATATATAGCACACATATACATTTTTCAGCTGGCCTTTCTTAAGACTATGTCCCATCAAATTGCTCAGCCTTTTGAAAGAACTTGAAGTTCTAGTTCTCAGTAAAAACATCAGGTGTATCATGCAATGTAACTTGCAGCTCAGCTGCCGGCAGAGAATGTAAAGCTGCCTGAAATCTATCTGTATCAATATAGGAAGATTTGTCACTGTTTTCATACCATGCTAATTACTGCTTTGACTTTAAAGAGCAGATAGTTTTCTCTTGCTTTGCTCACTACTGTCTGAGGTAAGCTATTGAACTTCAATGGAGTTATGCCAATTGAACCAGCTAAGGATGCTGCCTTCTATTTACTCTTGCACCTCCCGAAGCATGCGTGATTCAAATTCCATTGGGACTGCTCTTTTATCTTTGCAGTGAAAAATGTCCCTATTTTTCCCTCACAGAGCAACATAAGCACTGTCTGCAAAAATGTCTTTTCAAAAGTAGCTTGCAACTATCCGCTAGAAAAACTTGGATTTATTTCAGCTACAGTTCCAACATCCTTAATTATATTTTCTAGTAATGTCCATAGGAGCTCATTCGCAAAGAAGTAAGCTGATATTGCAAACTTTCTTGTAAAATCTGGAATTTCTTACATATTCCTATAAAAATGAGCCAACTAGCTAACAAGTTTTGAAGCAATAGCTATGGGGCAAAAGCTATAGTATGTTAAATCACACAATAAGAACAGTGAATTGTCACAGTGAACAGTCCCAGACACATACAGCCTGTAGATTGCTCAGAAAAAGCTGTTCATCAGAAAAAGAGCATAACTACACAAATATATTTTGTAATCTATTAAAGATGTGAGGAATTCTATCTGTAAAGGACTTTTGATGTAATACAAAGGCAGCTGAGCAGAGACAATGAGTGGAATAGATCTGTGTTAAACACCGTACCTTCAAGTGGTTGCTGAGCACCACATGGTACCAAGAATAAAAATATCCTAAATAGAATGGAAAATTTTAAATCTCTATCAACCAGAGACAAAACTCTACGGAAATAAGGAAGACAACAGAAGGAAATTCAGTAGGCGCTTCACTCTGTGTCTGTAAGCAAACGGTGCCAGTAGAAATGAAGGCATTCATAAGATATCTTTTTTTCTGACAGCGGCTGGTTCTGAAAATCTTATTGCAGTTAATAATTTTCTGTTAACTAGAGCAGAGTCTGACTGTGAAGTGGTAGTACAGAAATGTGAGGAGGCCTGAATTCCATGTAAAAATTAAATGTGTAAGATTGGCTCAGAGTAAGCAGAGGCTTGCAATTTTGAGGGCTAGCTAAGAGGAGACTGGGTCCTAATGGGAGCTGGGAAGAATATTCAGAGAAACTACTGGAAAATCAAGAATGAAACGAAAAAAAAAGCTCTTATAAGGTGCTGGTTAATGCATGTTAATGAGGAAGGAAGTCACTTGGCACAGTCTGCTGAACGAACTCCACAGTTCTTTAACACTGCAGGCCTGGTTTGGTATGTTAAAATGTCACCAAAACCTCAACTCTGTAAGGTTAAAAAGGATGCAGAGCTCTACCTTAGATCAAAACAAGAACAGAGCAGCTTGCATATATTGGACAATCACCACTTTAAAAGATGGTGTCCAGAAAAGGAAATACCTATCCAAAAAGGCAGTGGTTTGCACCATGTATTTAATTGATTGCAGACATTCCCAGAGTATGGCCAGTGTGGGCAAAGGATGACAAGTACGCATTTAGCTCAGATGAACTCCATATAGCAGCCACAAATAATGCTCTGCAAAATATGAAGACTGTTGACCTGAAAGTATATATGACAGCTATTATTTCAAAGCTGCACACCAACACATAAACCACTCTTCATAGAAACTCTACTAAAAGATTTTAAAGAAAAGACTCAAAAATAGAAGATAAACTGATGAAGAGTGTTATTTACACATCACCAAAAGAAATATTTGGGGTACAGCCACAGTTGAACTGTAACAAGGGTAGGAATGCTACTTCTTGAGTTAGAAGGATGCCATTGCTTTTATCTTATCCAGGGGTATCATGCTGAAGTGATAGAAGCAAAAATAAATAAGGATATCTTTAGAATATCTCAAAGTGGAGTGCTTTTTCTCCTGCTGGACTACTACAGAGCTGACAGTGCACTCCCACTTCTATAGCAGTGCTGCATGCATTCCCCTGCTCCACTTTGAGACTGTCACATCAGAAGGATGCATGTGGTATGATATGGCACTGTCAAAACAAATTACTTGCTGCTTCTTGATGTCACTATCCATGTGTCTGAGGAGACATAAAAGTTCAGGTGTCAATAACATCACAGATTAACTGGACATCACTGTTAGGTAGTTTAGCAGACAGGTTGGAAGTTCCACATTACATGAGCATTGCTCACTTGTCATTCACCAGCTACCCTGGGGAATAACTACATGACTTCTGGGTGGTGCAAAGACACATGCTTGGCACCGCCTGCACAGTACCTACAGCACGGGGAAAACAGGAAATGAAACAGTCTTTGTCAAGGTCCTTGCTGCAGAGTGGTAACTGAACAGCATGGGGAGCTTGAACTCATACAATTAGCCGTTTCTACTTTTTACAATGCCCCAGTCAGTATTTTCCTGTGGTCAGAGTTGGGATTTTAGAAGCCAGATCTTTTATGCAATAAAGCACCACAGTGACTAAAGTTCCTCTGGCAGACTTGGACAGCAAAACTGACTGGAAGAAGTCCACCTTTTTCTTTTTGTCTCCAGTATGAAACATTTCTGCGAAAATATATTGGAAATTTTGTGTCTTCATCAACAACTGGAAAGTAGAAGTCCAGCTTTCTTTTTTCAGTTATAAGTTTTGGTTTTCCACTCTTTTGAAAAAGACAGTTCTTTTTGGCTACAAAAGAAATTGCAAGAGAAATCATTAGCAGAGTTTTCCACCTAGCTCAAATGTCGTTCTTCAAGCGACTCTATCCTTTTCAGCTTTCTTCTGATGGTGTTGTTAGACTTGGCAATTTGGTAGCTATTATCATTTGTGATAGGAATTACCCTGAGACATCGTATTTGTCCAAAGATCAATTTCCTCTTTTAATTAGGATTGAGGTACAAGTTGCATCCTGGTGTTGAATCAGACTCCAGCTGGCTCTGAACTTTTTCCAGTTGATTACAGTGATTGCAGTTCTTTGGCTGGTTCTTCCAGCATAACTTCCCTGCTTTAAAGAGAGTGGGAGTGGTTGGTTTGAACAGAGTAGACAGCTGAGGGGATGTTTGATAAGAACTGCATCTAATGTAACAGAACTGATCAATGTCATTTTCCTTTTAAAGAAATGGTCGCTAGAAGGTGCTGTTCAGCAGAGCGCAGCTGACATAATGCTCTGGATGGCATAAAGGGATTTAAGAAATAGCTGGAAAAAGCATGCATGTGCATGGGGTAGCTCTCAGTTAGAATGTGTCCAAGCACAACCTCTCTATTCATAGCCACAGAAATAAAAAAGCCACCTCCAGGGCTTAATATCACATCTCTACCAAATGTGCAAGATAGGACATGTTGAGCTTGCTGGACTCTGTGTTTCCTAGGAGCTTAAAGAGCCTGTCATGTGTCAGCCAGTCTTGCTGCTGCTTCATTTCCAAATCAATGTGAAGATGTTTTGATGAGTAAAAGACAAATGATTTGTGATGTACTTGTTTGAGAAAGCCTCTCTCAGTTAGCGATAAACTCATTGCAACTGCATCATAAAGGAGATAAAGTCACATCTTTATAAGAAAGAAGAGGTAGCTGTCAGGTCGCTCACATTTGGGACCCCAGATTTTTTTAAGTCTTTTCTTCTCTAGATTGGTAATAGCCTCATATCTTTAGATTTCCCTCTGAAGTCCCACCTAAATTTACTACCAAGAGGAGAAAGGTATGGTATGGTCTATGCTGGCACTGAGGAAGGTGAGGAGAGTGGTGAGCACCAAATACAGGGGCCACTGTACCAAGGCATAGATTTTTGTCTTCAACAGTGTGAATAAAAGCAATTATTGTATATTGCTAGCCATTTTTTTTTCTGCGTAAAACAGGTCATATGTGACTCTAAAAGGCAAAGACTTAGACGTTATAATTTAGTAGCATGACTGAATGTTGTGATCAGGTATTTAATCACAAAGGCCTAGCTGCATACCTCATTGACTAGAAAAACATTGTCTGTGTGTTTTTTTGCAGAGTGCCACATATTGCAAAGCATATATTACCCTGTAAATATTAATGGTAAGTATTTTAAGATCAGTAGTTGCCTTCTTTTCAGAACTGCTCAGACGTGATGCTTACATTTCTGCCTTACTGAATTTGCTCTTTTGGGACCATTTAGTCAATCCTGTCTTGCTATATTAGGAACCTCTTGAACAAATATAGTTCACTTTTTTTCATTTTGATATACCCTCAAATAAGTCATTAATTGCCCAATGAGCCCCACAGACAATTAATAGTTTCTGTGCATAATACATCAAACTGACTAGATATGGAACTTTTAACTGGATCACAGCATAAAGTTTAAAGGATACACACAGGAGTGTGGTGTTCTGTTTTCTGCATCCAGCTTTTCCACTGACTTAAAGTAAGTGTGAGGGTTGCAACCCTGAAGACCAGTTGTAGCAGAGGGCTGGAAAGCGTGGCCCTCCAGAATGGACAACCCGAGGACCTGGCTACAGCATGCTAATAAGATGGATGTAAGAGTGAAATATGAACAGTTTTGTGGACATATGTGGTTTATTTTGTATTTTATGGAGGTTTTTTATATCCCTTGGTTTTCAAGAAGTCGAACAATTACAACCTTGCACTCAAACAGCTAAAGGAAAGCTCTTTTGGTTACACAAGGTCAGGAAGTAGTATAAGAGCTGAGAAAGAGCAGCTGTTCACGTGTAATAGCCCTGCAGTCCACGATTTGTGCCAGCAGTGAACGAGCCAGCTGCCAGGAGGCACTCCATGCTTCCCCAAGAGCATGCCCAAACCACCAGTTAGGGTGTTGTAGGCCATGCATGAATGTTTCATGGAGTGGAACTAGAAAGGGGCATGCCTCCAGTACAAGTTTACTGCCTGAAGGAGGTCCCTAGCCAGCTCTGCTCCTCTCTTTCTTCCTTTTCAACCCCATGAATCTTAAGATATTCAGCACAGGGCATCCTGGGTTTGGTAAGAGGGCAGTGTTCCTACCCAAATGAACTCATAGGGTGCTCTCACACGGAGACAATGCTGGGGCTTTGGCTTTCTTAGGCCAGGTAAAGAGCTGTATTCAGAGCTCCTCCTTCCTCCAGGAACTCTCCAAACATCAGCAGTCAGTGCCTTAGAGACAGGCAGAGGAGCCATGCCATTCTGACTATTTTGCTGCCAGGCCCACCTTGGGAGCACTTTGGCACCATATCAAATTTGTCAGGAATGTGGAAAAGGGAAGCTGTAACCTTGGGTCTCTGCTTGGACCAGAGGGAAGTACTGTGGCAACAGCAGCAGGATCAGAGGGGCTGCCTGAGGTGCCTTGAGCACATTTAAGCAAAAAACCCAGTTTAGGGATTCATAGCATTTGAGCAGGAATGCTTAGGACACTGCTGTTCAGTCACTCTTGCAATACCTAGGTCCCTTCCTGAATTCAGATCTTCATCTTGGTTACTCAGTTTTGCCATCTGTTGGCATGGAATAGTAATTCCTTTATATATAGGCTTTATATGAAAAGGTCTATGGAGTTTAATTTATAATCTTTCAACAAAGTAGTTACAAATATGTTGCACTTCCTTTTATGAGCCAATATTTCAATTAACATTTGCCTAATTCTTCTTTTTTACTTGTTTTCTTGTGATGGTTGGACTTGATAATCTTAAAGGTCTTTTCTAGTTGATTCTGTGATTCTATGACTCTACTTTTATCAACAGCTACTTGGTTGTCACAAACAAAAGGTTTGATTGGTTTTCCCCTGCATTCGGTTCCACTGAACATATACTGCTATGCTTCCACCAAAATACCTAGATGTAATTCACGCTAAGACCAGAGAACACAGTAAAGAATAAAGCACAATATTAAAAAACCACCATTCATTCAAAGATGAATAAGTAATTAATTGCTTTCAAGCTCTGAATGTCACAAAATTCTGGAATCACAGAACATCCCCACCAAAGGTAGAACAACCTTTTTTCTTTTTTTTTTTTAGATTTTTAACTAGAGTATTGTAGAGTGATTCAAGTGATTCTACAGACATTTATATAAAAAAATGACTTTACACACATGTAATCATGTTTAGTTCAAACAGAACTAGTGAATTCATAATGTTACCCTAGTGCATATTTAGGAGTATGTTTTCACTTTTATATGGAACATGTGTTGTCTTTTGTCAAAAGAAGAATATATGCATGCCTACATACATGAAAAGAGATAAGGGAAAATATGCAATCTGAAAGCAAAATCCCTGCTTGACCTTCAGTTTACTAAATAATGTTTGTATAATACATGTTAAACAAAAAAGCCAAACCATGTTATCTTACAGTTGGCTATTTTCCTAATACAACACAGTTTGTCCTCCTCTGCCTTTTATTCTGAATTTGACAACCTGAAAAACGCATCTTCAAAATTAGAATATCTTGTCTTTGAAAAAAATATTTTCTTTGTGTATTAAAGGGCAAATGTGCCTCCAATACAGAAGGTGTTATAACTAGGATTACTGCTAACTTCTTTTGTTGGCTGCCATCCCACCAAATGAGTCACATTTAGACTAGATTTGACCTTATTACATGCCTGGGGTCAGTATCCTGGAGATTTGGTGGTTACTAATGGTTACTTCGCCAGAGAAATGAAGGAGGAGGTAAGACAGAAAAAAAGCATACACGTAAGGTGTATTTTTCTAAGTCCTGCTGCAAGAGTGAAAGCTGAAGATATTCCCCCCACTGGGCTGAAAAATGTAGGTTTTTATGGTCTCAAAAAAGCAAAGTGATGGTAACCCCCTTTTTTGAGAAGTCTTATAAAAAAATTGTGATAGAAATGCAGGAAAAAAAGAGCAAAGAGCTTATTTAGGTCTAGCACCTGTGAAATAGCAGGCTGGGAAAAATATACTGCGGGTGCTCCCCACTTCAGTCCCACAACATCCAGCTGTATAACCTGCGCTGTAAACAAGAGCATTAAAGGATGCAGCCACTATTAAGACAGATTGTAGATACAGCTACATTCAACTATTAGGCTAATCATTTAAGATTAATTTTTCTGTAGTTCATGTAATTGTCTCTTTCCCAAAAGTCTGCTCATGTATCTGTCTGGAGCTCAGATCATATTGTCATTTTGTGTCAGTCTTGTTTAATCTAATACCCAAAATTTTATTCATGGTTAAAGGCCTAAGTGAAATGGCCACTTAACCAAATGCCTGCATTTCAGCAGCTTCACCAAATGACCAGTTTGACAGAATGACTGTGATAGGAATTAGAGCTAGTGCAGCTCACTTATTAATCATTGCTCAGTGACCTTTAACAGTAGCCAAATTGTATCTGAGTGTAGTTAAGGTGTCCCAGAGTTTGTGCATCGCAGGAGGAGGTGATGGACTGGAAAGCAAGGAGGGAGGAGAGAGCGTTATTCTTTTTTTTTGGGGGGGACACTGTCCCCATTGAAATAAATTACAAAAATACCACAACTCCAAAGGTGCGTGGACCAGATCACTGAATCTTGAATGTTGCCATGCAATTAAATGCTGGGTCTTGCTATTTGAAAGGAATATATATTTCTCTAACTAGGGCACTGAAATGAATAATCCCTGTTACCGAAAGAAAGTTATGTGGGCGGAAAATAGTCCTTGGGACTGGAATTCAGTTGCCAGCTTAGCTTTCTGCTGCACAGTTTTGCAGCTAATCAGGGCACACAGAAAGGGTTTCCAGCTGCTCTGTGCTTCCCCTGGG